TAGGTACTCACCTCCTGTTAGAAGTCATTTATATTAGTTCATTATTACTCTAACATCTTGGGGAAGATCTCAGTGGGGCCAAGTCTTGGTACATGAACTACAGTTGTACCATTTCTTGGACAATCAGGCTGATCACAATACTAGTTGATGCCCACACAAAGAGTATGAGGAAATCTAGGGTATATTGACTTATCCAGCCAAAAGAAATAAAATACGCACACACACACAGAGACAGAGTAACTTCTGCATTATATGATGACTTGGGATGCAGTGATGATGTTATTATTTGTCAGGTTGTTTGTTTTTGTTATGTGCAATATCTCATCTGTCAAATTTTGATTTGGTTTCACACTCAATTTTGATGAGTCTGTTGTGGCCCTCGCATGAATCAAGTATGACGCTGAGCAAATAATCTCGTGATGGCTTTTGTATTACAGTGGCATTTGCACGGTTACTGTTCCCTCTTGAAGCCAGACTAGCCATGCAAATTGCAAATGCTGAGACTGCAGCTGAAGTAGCTGTCCGTTTGGCATCTAAAAGTACATCTGGGAACTTGAGGGAGGTTGATTTGAATGAGACACCCATAAAGCAGAAAGAAAGACTTCTTTCAAGGATGCAAGCCCTCTCGAAGACAGGTATCCACTGATAGCCAGTCTATTTATTAAGATCGTCTTAAATGCATCTAATTTCCTATTATTTCCAATTTCATCATCGTCTAATCAGTAGCAACTTAAGTGTCATGAAGAGCATCTAGACCTGAACCCACTTTTTGCTCCACCGTCCTCCCTCCTTATTCTCCCAAAATAGGAAAAGAAGGAGAAACAAAGAATGCAAATTAATATTGGTTTTTTCTGTAGCATTAACAACCAATGTTAATCCCCGAAATATCCAGGAGAAATGAAATTATAAATATGTGTGTGTAGGGTTTTACTAACCTACTACATGACTATAGCACTGTCACTTTATGTCCAATTTTTTCCCATCAATTACCCTTTGTGACTTGAAAGAATGACCATATGTTTTCCTTGTAACATATTCTTGATTTGCACATATAGATTCCATCATGGACTAAGAATGCCTTAACAATTGTATTTTCAAGATTCCTCTTGTCATTATTCTTAATTAATTCTGTTTCATGGTTGCAGTTGAGCTTGGCAAGCGCTATTTTCCGCATTGCTCCCAAGTTCTGGATAAGTTTATGGAGGATGACTTACCCGACTTGATTTTCCTTGAGATGGGCACTCCAGAGGAGCAAAAGATCAAGAGGAAGCGATTTAAGGAGCTCAAAGATGACGTTCAACGGGCATTTAACAAAGACAAGGCTGAACTTCATAGCTCTGGCTTGTCCTCATCATCATGTTCCTCTTCTTTTAAAGATGGTGCAAGTGTCAAACTTAGGAAACTATGAGTAAATAGGGTTTTATCCTATAGGTTCTCTACCATCTCAGTTTTGGATGTAAGATTCACAGTTCTAACAAGACTATCTTGTAAAACCTTCATTAGAGTGCCTGCTCTGTCATTATCCATTTAACATGTTTACAGTAGAAAGAAAGTTGCATAGGGACGAGCTTGCGGAAATACTAATGATGTAAAAATGATTCACTGTTATGGGAAGTTTATTTGTTTTATCACTTACAGATATCACTTGGTGCACTAGATAAACTTCTGAGAATAATATATAGTCATTTCTTGTTGCAGAAGATGGAGTTTATGTTGAGTTGCAGATCCTTTTCACGTTAACAAGGCCTCGTCTTTGAAAAAAAAGAACTGTGGAACTTATTTTGCTTCATCTCAGTACTACTATTATCTTCTTTCTATTCTCGTCGAATACAAGTAAAGTTAAATATTCAATGCTTTTCTTCCACTTTATTCACCGTTGAGTTGTCTTTGTGAAAGAATCAGGATTACGCAGAATCCTCCAAAACCTTTCATCACGTATAATTTAATTCCTATGTTTCCAGTTGGCAAAGAACCAGATGGGTCTAAACCTCCCGGTTTAAACACCAGAAGCATTAAATAATTATCGCTTGAGGCATTCAAGAGTGTCATCTAGCAGTCAATAAACCGAGTAAAGATCATGAGAAATCCGAGAAACACAGTGATATTTTCCCATCTGCCTGAACCTTGAATGGGCAAAGCTACCCAGTGGTAATTAGTCACACTAAATCGAAGAACATATCTACAAAGCCTATACCAGCCACCAAATAGGCTAACTTCAGAGTAACTTGTCACATAGGTAAGTAAATCTAGAACAATAGAGACTAGATTAACTGCGGAAGGACTTTCCATGGGAAGGAAACCATGAGACTTCATAATAAGAGCCTTTAATTTAACTGGCTATGGAGGTCCAATATAGAAGAAGCGGCCCTATGGAGGAAAGTTATCTTAGCCAAGTACGATATGGAAAGGAACTGGTACACAAGACAAACCACCAATACATGGAGTCTCATTATGGAAAAACATTAGCTTCTATGGGAGGAGTTCTCTAACTAGTATACATATCTATACTGCATAGTGAGGAGTAAGGGAGCAACCGTTGCTGATTGTAGACAACGGGAAGTATGAAAGAGTGAGTCAATTAAAGTAAATTGGAGAATTGAGATTGACTTGATACATTATAAACAGGATAAATTGGTTTGGGAAGGGGAAAAGGATAGATTTATTTAAGGTTAGAATGTTCTACCAAAGAAGCCAAATTTGATAGATACCGGCCTTGGAGAACAATATGAAGGAGCTGAAGTTTTTTGCTGGATTGCCATGAATGGGGCATGCCTTACGCAGGACAACCTACAAAAAAGAGTACACAGTCTAAGTAATAGCCTAACAGGTGCTATTGCTGCCTATGCAAGTTACAAGCAGAATCTCCTGAAAACTTACTGATACACTGTAGATTTTCATGGGAGGTGTGGACAGTGTTCCTTAATGTCTTTGGAGCGAAATTAGTCGCTCCCTCATCCATTGAAGACATAGTAAATCAAATACATTTGACATACTGTTCCTTTGTGCAATTTTTGGACAATTTGGAAAGAAAAAAATTGCAGGTATTTTAAAAATAGTTAACAGGCCTTTCCATGTGTAAGTACAACTTTTTTTTTTTGATTTGCACCGGGTGTCCGAGTCTCTAAGAGCCCCGACTAATCCCGGGGCTGCACAGGCCCTCGGCAAGGAGCTTCCCGCAAGTGCACCACGGTTAATTCAGGTTTTACCCAGTCCAATGGCCCTCAAAAATTGTTTGCACCCAGTGGGTTTCGAACTTGAGACCTTGAAAGGGAGCAAACCCCAAGGCTCAAGTCTATTGCCACCAGGCCAACCCTGAGGGTTTGTGTAAGTACAACTTTTGTAATCTTGGTTCACATTTTTGAGGATTTTCTCAACTCTCCACAGACATCAGAAGATAGAATCCTTTCCTGCTGTACATATCGGCACCTACTTGATGCATAGCAAAGATAGTTTTAAAAAGAAACAAATACTGAACTCATTAATGGACATTCTGAGACATAACAAAACATGTGTCTCTGGATGCTTTTTTATGAAGGTGGTGTAAGGCAAGTTTGTGTGTACTTCGATCAGTCCACTAGGTACCTACCACCTACCACTAGTAAAATATCCAGTACTCTGTCGATCAAGGCTTAAACAGAAGAGAAGAAATGATCTAGCATTTTATTCATAAAATTATTCCAGCAGCACAGCTTGATAACAACGTTCTCTGGAATTTACTCCTTGAATATTAATAAATTTAAGGATAGAGATAATGATGCTCCAAAATTGCATAGAAGGCAGTAATATTCACCAATATACTCCAATTGGTGTTCATGATAAAATATGAAATAGTATATAACATCCTCATAAGCAAACAAGATACAACACATAATATGTCGAGTTGTGTCCATAGTGGAGAGGAAAAGAAAGCGCAGGCGCACAAATCATGGTCAATTCAAGACAAAGAGTTTGGGGCCAATACAATATTGTTTCGTAATGACATAGCAATACATCATGAACAGTTCGTTATTTTGGGAGCAACATTAGGGAAAAAGAAACACGTATATAGAATGAGAAAATTGGTATTCAACAAGCAATGTCCCAATCTGTTATGAAAATCAGGGGCATACTAGCAGAAAGAGAAGTAACAAAGGCCGAACAGAAAACGTAAAAACAACGAAAAGGAATACTGTTGGTACAACAACAAAAACAACCCAGTAAAATCCCATAAGTGGGGTCTGGGAAGGGTAGTGTGTATGCAGACCTTACCCCTACCCCGAGGGAGTAGAGAGGTTGTTTCCGATAGACCCTCGAAAAAAGTACACTTCTTATAGTAACAGAGTAGATTGTCTTCTTTATTCTTAAGAGCCTCCCATCCCCACTTGGGAAAGAGATTCTTGAGCCTTATTCAGGATAAGAAACTTGACTAGGAAAAAAAAGATAAGAAAATTGAGAAAATCGAGAAACCTCCTATACAGGTCTTTTGACTTCCCCTCTGATGGACGACAAGGGATTGCACCCAAAATCATAGTCATACTTTAATTATTTTTTTTTAGGGGGGGGGGGGGGGGGGGGTCGTTGGATTTTTTCAATAATTTTGGTGCCCAAGCCAAACTTGTCCGCACCTTGACTAATCCATTGGCACCCACTACCTCCCACCAACAAAGGTACCAGGTAACTCTACCTACTAAGGCTTATCAGACATCAGATCTATTATTTTACAAGTCTAGTGCGTACATGACACCTCCTTGTCCGGTCAGAAAGTACCTAAATATCTAGAGTTCCCTCGTCTAAAGCATGAAGAGAAGGGGCTGTGATGGGAGTAGCAAGTGGGATGAAAAGTTCTTCAACAGAACGAGAGCAGACTAAAATCAAGCAATCCCCCCTTCTGATGCTTCAAAGTATAGGTGAGTGATGTGTGTCTCCTAACAAGAGACATATTAAAGAAAAAAAGAGCATAGACAAACCAATTAAAGGTGGGAGATTTAAATAATCAATTAGAACTAGAAACTTATAGCAGCTTGGGGTAAAAATGGTAACTTTATTCATCAAAACTGATATGGAAAATAATCTTAGCTGGATTGAAGTGAACTTTTTAAATTTTCCCACATTGCTGGACCTTCTGGATGTATGTCAACAAAATATTTTACAAAGCGGGCATCTGAACAAGCAAGAAGAGTGCTCACTGACAATCTTGGTTTTGCAGCACCCTTTTGCTTCAGCCATGCATACATTGAAAACCGAAGATGGACTCTGTCAACATCATAGCAGAGGTAAGATGGAAATGACGCAATCGATTCCACTGGATAACCTAAATATGTTTTCAGTAGATCCATTTTCTTCTCAAGCACATTTTTGCTCTGGTTCAGCGCCGTGGGAGCCTGTTTAATCATATTAATTACAACATTGCAGTCCAGACCAGCATTTACTAGGCAATCAAACCTCTCTTGTAACTGGTCTCCTCGTCCACGGAACTGCTTTAAAGCTTTTGCCATCTCATCTGAATTTTCTAAGTAACCTACTCTCAACAAGAAAGTAGTTTTCTCAAATAATTTTCCTGGGTTCTGGGAAGTCATCTGCTCCAAGCTAACTTTTGATTTTGAGGCTAATCTGAATAAGTTCAAAGGATCCTCTTTTATAGTTTCACATAAACGACACTTGTCGCCCTTGAAGCCCCTCAAAACGGTCTTTGGTCCCTTCAGAGAATGTGACCCCAGAAGTTGTATATGTGTAGATACAATATTTGCAATAATTTCGGTCTCTAATCCTATCTCCAACAAGAAGTACAGTGCCTGCCAGAGATTTTTAGCACATTTGAGAGATAGAATATTAGGATTTTGACAGAATAGTGAGTATATGTCACTCATTTTAAGACCCAACTTCAGTAATTGCCCAACCAATACATAAATTCGTTTCCCAGAGCCTTCAAATAAGAATGCAGGGTTCATCTTAAACAAAGCCGCCATCTTTTCATCACTATATCCTACTTCATTGAGAAAATGCAATGTGTGAAGCATTCTACCCCAATTGTAGGAGTGCCTGTTGGATAAGTATCCTCCAATCCAATCATTTTCAAAACCTAAGATTTTCAATTTCTCAAGAACCTTAATAAGTTCGCTATTCATCTCACCAAGCAAAAGAGTAGGCGAACAAGTCACTAACTTTATAACCGTTGATCTGCTCAAACCTAATTTCTCATAAGCCTTCAATTTCATATCCAAGACTCCATAGTCATATCTGAATATCTCAGTCGCTTCCTTATAGATCTTCCCCATTTTAACACGAGGAATGCCGTAATCACAAAGAACATGATAATTATCAAGCAAGACACTGTCATCACTCAAAAATATCAAATTTCGCGGAAGCATAGATGTAAGCTTGGATTGGCTCAACCCCAAGCTTTCCAAAAACGGCTCAAACTCATTAATAGGATGGTATCTAAAGAAACGTGTCAACGCCCTCGTTATGTCTTGATCATTATCAACCTTGGATAGCAAGCTTTGAAGAAAATGAGGCGAGTTCTTGCTAATATGTTCGGCATCCACATAATTAAACCCTCTTGTACAATGCAAGTAATCAAAGAGAGCTGCTTGTGCATCAGTTCTTGTAACCCGCGACATTTTATTGACAGCAACGGAAATGGGTGTCTGAGTTGTCGATTCGGGAACAGATACCTTAGGATTATGTGAACTACGAAAGCATCTAATATTCAAAGACGAAAAATTCTGGGGACTATGAGAATTAGAACCCTTTTCATAAATAGGAGAAATAAATAGGTGATTGAGCTGAGATATCATTTTCCAAGATACACTTTTGCGGATTTTTCGAATTAGCATCTCAAGTTAGCAAACAATAGACTCTGATTTCTGGACCGAAGAAAAAAAATATGTTTTTTAGCTTATAAAGCTTATGCAAATGAACAAGCGTCCACGAAAATTTCATGGGTCTTTCATTTTTTGCACAAATATATTGGAAGGATCACATTAATGAACAATTGTTCAGCAAAAGACGGTTTGATTATGGTGCAATTAGAGCTGTACAGAGCAGGTTGTGGAATTGATACCTCTGATTGTATATTGGAGCTGCTTTGTTCCTTTCTCTGCAGTTGGCGAAGAAACGATGGCTTCTTATGACAGGTATTTTAACTACGCCTTAGATACAAAGAGGATAATAGGGTTTTAGTTAAGCGTTAGATACAAAGATGGAGTACTTTAAAATTCTAAAACCCTAGGAGGAGGAGGAAAAAGATTTGGTTTTACGTCTCCAGTTTAAAAGTTCAATCCCCCCCCCCCCTCCCTAACACCCCCCCACACACCCTTTTTTTTTAATTGTCCTAATATTTAAAAATAATTATCTCAAATTATTTATCACTTCATAAGTTTAACAAAAAATTATTTTTTTTCCAATTTTACCGTTAATATTAATTATGCTTGAAGATAAAAATAGCACGTAAGTAGAGTAAATACTCAATAAAGAAGAATTATATCTTAAGGCATAAATAAGGATAAAATGGTCCAAACTTTCTTAAAAGAGAAATAAAATAAAAAAATTGAGACAGAGCGGATAGTTGGTACTTTTCACGTGGTAAATTACATTAAACTCACCGTAATATGACTTAATCGTCAATACACTTATTATATTTTGAAATGGCATAATGGCTTCTGGGCCACTTAAACTTGCACCGGATTTTAAAGCCGATACATGAACTTTCAATTTTCCCATTTTAATACCTCAACTCAACTGATTACTTATAAGTGAACACCTCTGACCGTTGACTATACTTATGTGGCGGTAGCACATCTGACGTGGTCAAAGTGCGTGCTAATCACGCAGAAAAAGAGCGTCACTCGAAAAACTATATTTAAATTAAAAATATTAAATCTGAATAAGAAAAAGAAAAAGTAAATAAAAGACAAAAAAATAAAAAAATAAAAACATCTTAAATCCTAAATCATCCCTCCTGTAACCCCCTCTGTTATCTTCTTCTTTACAACCCCCTACCCCCCCCCCCTCTTTTCATTGCAACTTTGAACAATCCCTTGGCCAGTCTTCATTTCTCCACAAACTAATCATTTTGGTTGGTCTATCTCATTTTTTCAGTTGACGACAAAGGTATGGTGGTGAAAGTGTTTTCGGTGATCTTCTTTGGCCGGTTGGGACTATGAAATTACTGGAAACATTCAGGGTGGGAAGTAATAGATTCTTAAGGAGGTCTATTAGTTTTAATTTTGACGAGTGTCGCCGAGATGCCATATTTTTCGATGAAAATCTTGTCGGAATGGTTTTGATATTTTTTTTGAAGATCTGATGGCTTGTTTGGACTAATTTCTAGACTGAGGTTTGGTTAAGGTATGTATTAGGATATGAATTGATCATAGTTGAATTTTTACTATTGAAAATAGTGGCTGGGCAGGGGAAGGATTTGGTGGAGCTATGGTGGAGAAAAAAGGAAAGAGAACAAAAACTAAAAATTTGATAAATTGGTTTTAAAAAGGATGGGACCCAGATATTACAAATGTCAAACAATAAATGGTCTTAGTATCTGACGTGGTATTCATGTCAGGCAATTAAGATACACGCTCCGAGGGAGGGGTTTATTGTAAGTATTTTTATCGAGTTGGGGTGCTAAAATGGGAAAATCGATAGTTCATGTATCGGCTTTAAAATCCGGTGCAAGTTGAAGTGGCCCAGAAGCCACTACGCCATTTTGAAATAGTTGTAAATACACTTAGTATATTTTGAAATCTACGCTTAACCCCCTTTATATGTTAGTTTGAATAATATTCTATTTCACAAGGGTGTTTACGTATTTATGTATTGGTAAAAATAAATATTACACGTGGATTTATATATGTGGATAATGTGGCAAGATACGTGGATCACTAAGGAAGCAACAGCTGGAGAGATGCATTAAAAGAGGCACGAGTCATAATAGGTACGAGCAAATCACCCACTAAATAAAAGGGTATGGTCGCTCGAATCTCAATTGCCAAATGAAGAGACACCGGCATAATGAATCAAGACGGAAAAAGAAGGAAGGTTCATGAATCATTAATTAATGTGACATTACAGAATCTTCATGAACAGTTACGATTGCCAATTATAACGTCTCATTAATATCATAATGATTCAGTCATAAAAGGGAAGAAACGTTGTACTTATAGATTCCTATATAAGGGAAGGGGATTTTACTTGTAAAGACACGTTCTGATTATTATTGGAATACAATTACTTTATTTTGCTTCTTATCGGTTACTTTGCTATTTCTTGTTCTAATTTCCTTTCTTATCATTGAGAAAATATAGAATTTCTTGATTATCAGTAGTCCGAGTACTTCTAAAAATAAGCTTTGACCGAAGTGCACAATTTTTGGTTAAACAAATTGGTTCCGTTATCAGGAATTTGATACTCTTTTCACTTTTCAAATTTATTTTTCTGTCAAAAAATCATGTCGGCCGCTAACGACAACAACCAACAAAACCAGCAAACCAGTTGAACCAACAGAATCAACAAGAGGATGAAACTCCAATCCCTTCACCCCGAAATTCTCCTCAACACTCCCGAGAAGGGTCACCTAACAGATCAACATCACATGTTAATAACCAACAAGAGGAAGATCAAACTGCTGAAGATGCATTGAAGCAACTAATTGCAGAACACGTCAACAATGCTCTTCAAGATTTTGTTAGTGGATTACCAACTGTACCACCAACTCCACCTCCAAACAACACCGCAACTATAGAGAACCCATGCTCAGGACTCGCCAATTCGGGCAGTAGAGGAAATCCCAGCGAATCTCGCGATGGAAGGTCAGGTATCCCAATTAATTTTGATTTACAAAGTTTAGTACTAACTTTGCTGAAACAACTCAAGGAGCAGAACGATCGCATAGAGCAGATACCCGGTGTGCCACCCGCGATTAAAGGAGTGGATATTGATAAATATTCTCAACAACATTGGAAGCCAAGTGCCGCTCCCTTGCCAACTCCAAAAAAGTTTAAGATGCCCGATATCCTGAAGTATGATGGGAAAACCGACCCACGAGATCATGTAATTGAGTTTACAACTGGCATGAAAGGCAACGACCTAACCAAGCAAGAGATTGAGTCAGTGCTGGTCAAAAAATTTGGTGAAACACTCAAAAAAGGAGCACTAACATGGTATTCTCTTTTACCAGAAAATTCTATTGATTCTTTTGCTGAGCTTGCCGATTCATTTATAAAAGCACACTCGAGAGCTCAAAAAGTTTAAAAGAGGTTGGAAGACATCTTCAAAATAAAACAAGGAGATACGGAGCTACTCAGAGAATTCGTGGATAGATTCCAGCGTGAAAGGATGATGTTACCATGTGTACCTGATAATTGGGCGGCTATGGCGTTTGCAAGTAACCTAAATGAAAAAAGCTCAGAAGCCACAAGGAGACTCAAAGAAAGTTTACGAGAATTCCTTGCAACAACTTGGAATGATGTTTACAACAGGTATAACACAAAGCTGCGAATAGAAGAAGATACTATCACTCAGTCACGGGGAGATGAAAGAACAAGTTCAAGGCGACCAGAAACTGAAAAAAGTTCTGGTAAGAACAGGTACGAACCTTACATGGGACCAGCAGGAAGGGATTCACGTTCAAAACAAGAGAACCCGAGGTACGGTTCCAGATCAAGGGACAGAGATGCGGGTCCGTCATCCAAGTTTAGAAATGAGCGAGATACGCGGGACGGCGACATTAGTTCAAAAGCAAAGATTGGTACTTACAGTTTCAATGTTAGCACATCTGAATTGGTAGCTGTTTTAAGAAGTATGAGAGATAAGGTGCGGTGGCCAAAAGAAATGAGATTGAACCCTAGCAGAAGAAACCCAAATTTCTGGTGCGAGTTTCATAATGATCACGGTCACAAAACAGCAGAGTGCAGATTGCTACAAGGTGAAGTAGAGCACTTGTTAAAACAAGGTTATTTAACCGATTTGTTTAGTGAGAAGGGTAAGCAAGCATATATGAAGAATAGACAAGATCCACCAAAACCTTCGTCACCGAAAAGAATGGTTAACGTGATAAACGGAGAAGAGGAGGTCAACGGTGTGACATATACGGCTTCAAAAAAGGTGTAAAAGTCATAGTTACCCACGGCAAGCGAGTTCACCAAGTTTAGGAAGAAGACAGTATAACATTTGATGATGCAGATGCAGACGGCGTGTTGATTCCACACAATGATGTACTGGTAATATCTTTACTTGTACATGATACTAATGTGAAACGAGTTTTGATTGATCCAGGTAGCTCTGTAAATATCATTCTTTTAAGAGTGGTAAATGAGATGCAAGCTGATGACAAAATTGATACCCAAAGCACGTACCTTATCTGGATTTGACAATTCAAGCGTTGTTACTAAAGGAGAGATAGTGCTCATCACATTCGCAGAAGGAGTAGTCAAAGATACGAAATTTCAAGTGATAGATATGGACATGGCGTACGATATGATCCTCGGCAGACCTTGGATTCACGATATGGATGTTGTTCCGTCTAATTTACATCAGCTTATTAAGTTCCCTTCCCAATGTGGAATTAGGCATATTCGTGGTGATCAACAAGCTTCTAGAAGTATCAATTCAGTGGCAGATTCAAGCATAAAAATGATGTTGCAGACGTAAAATAGCAATTACAGAATTCAATTGAGGGTTTAACAACTCAAACCTCTACTGGAGATAGACAAACGGATGTAGACTCAAGGCCTGATACTATTCAAGAGCCAGAAGAGAACGAAAACATCAAAACAACAATTGAGGAACTCGAAGCTGTGGTGCTGTTTATACATTGGCCGGATAGAAAAATTTACATCAGAACTAACCTGAGCCCAAAGATGAAAGGTAAGTTAATTGAATTCTTGAAAGCTAACGCAGATTGCTTTGCTTGGTCGCATTCAGATATGACAGGTATACCGCCGGAGGTGATGACCCATAAGCTGAATGAAGATCCAACATACCCACCTATCAAACAGAAGAAAAGGAAGCAAGGATCCTTCAAAAACCAGGTGATTCAGGATGAGGTACAAAAGCTTTTAAAAATTGGGTCTATCCGAGAGGTAAAATATCCTAATTGGCTAGCTAATATTGTAGTGGTGCCCAAAAAGAATGGTAAGTGGCAAGTTTGTGTAGACTATACTGACTTGAATAAAGCTTGACCTAAAGATTCTTTTCCTTTACCACATATATATCAACTAATTG